GAGTAGGGCTGACTCCGGAGCCTGCCCCGAAGGCACGTCTGCTGGGCCAGGCCTGCGGCTCTGTCTTCTTCACCTCTTCCCGCCTGACCATTCTCGGGCCACGCTGCAGTGTGATCTTGGTGTTCCGCTTGTGTGGGCGCGGCCCTTCACAGTTGACAAAGGCCCTTCCGCATCCATTTCCCAGGTGAACTTCTGCTAATAGACTGAGGTAGGCAGGACCGGATGGATCTCACCTGAGGCCTGAGAGGGGGGGCGCTGGTAAAGGGTGCTCTGCTGGGACAAGCTGGGGTGCTCCGCCGGGGGCGAGCGGGGTGCTCGCCGGGGACGAGCCGGGTGCTCTGCCGGGGCGAGCTGGCTGCAGGGCTTGGGGCCCCCATGCACAGCAGCCTGGCTCAGCCATCAGCTCCTCAGCCAGCTGCTGTCCTTGTCCAGCGTAGAAAAGCGGATCAGCTTCAGGCTCGGTGGCTGGGGCTTCCTGTCATCCCAGAGGTACTCAGGGGACAGCACTCTGGAGGGCTTGTAGGAGATGAAACGACGGTTCAGGTGGCTCTCCTCCTGCCAGGCGGCCATGATGCCATTGGCCTTGTCCGCCAGGATGGCCATGTGGCAGCCTCTAGTAAACTCGTACACCCTGGCCACCCGCCCCCCAAAGACCGCCCCACCATAATAGAAGTCCCCCTCGTCGTCTGCCACAAAGGCGGTGGAAGCATGCCTGCGCTCGTAGGGAAACTGCTGGCGGGGCACAGCATAGTAGCCCGGGTGAATGGCCGCCACCAGGTCCCCCAGGGTCTCAGGGCCCCACGGGTTCCGGTGCGCCCTCTCGGCGATGTGCCGGCTGATGGTCTCCATCCGGCGCGTGGAGATCTCCTCCCAGCGCGAGTGCCTCTGGATGAGGATGATGCTGAGGAGGCGGCCGGGGCCCAGCGGGACCCGAGGAATGGCTGCGGGGTCGTTGGTAAAAACATAGTAGTGCACCCGGTGACCCTGCATAAAGAACTGCTCGGCCGACTCCAGGAAATGCTGGACGAAGCGGGTGTACCTGGCAGGAAGAACCCCATCATCCAGCCCGGCCCCATGGGGCCGCTGCCTGTGCAGGGCGTGGGGCTTGGGGTCCACCTCCCAGCTCCCCACCTTGAGAAGCCACGCAGGCGTGACCCTCGGGGCCCTTCTCTGTCAAAGCCCCACAACTGCAGTGTCAATCTCTTTAAATTTTTTTTTTTTTATTTTAGAGAGAGAGAGAGAGAGCGTGCACCTGAGTTGGGGAGAAGGGCGGGGTGGGGGGGGGGGGGGAGACAGAGAAAGGGAGAGAGGGAGGGAGAATCTTAAGCAGGCTCCACACTCAGCATGAAGCCCCACGTGGGGCTCAATCCCACGACCGGAGCTGAAATCAAGAGTCAGATGTTCAACTGACCGAGCCCCCCCGGGTGCCTGCAGCACCAGCCTCTTACAGCCCTCGTAGGAATGATACCTCACGAGGATTCCTAAAATCCGCAAACTGGCAAACTAAGCTGACTTAGTTTCCCCGAGTACCTCCTACGGGTCAGGCAGAGTTTCAAGGGATTCTTAGCTCCTTTGAGCCTCTTAAACTCCCTGAAGGCAGGCACGGTACTCCCCATTGTAATGTTAATTTTTTTCAGGCTCCACCAACTGAGCCAGCCAGTGCCTCCCCCATAATCCCTGTTTTAGAGGCAGAGACACTGAGGCTCAGAGAGAGGAAAGTGATCACATGGCCCGTATGTGCTGCCTCCAGGCCAGGTGAGTGGTGCTGGGGGCTTGGGGCTCTTGAGGTCCCAGCTGGAGGAACCCACAGGGCCGCACCCCCAGGTCGAAGCTGGTTGGACCAGAGGGTCACCTGACATGCCCCCCCCACCCCACCCCACCCAGCGCTTTAGGTACTGGGGCCCCACTGGTTTCTCTCTCAGGAGTCCCAGCGAGAGCCCCGGGGGGGAAGCTGTCAGGTGGTATCCCCTAAAGGAAAGGCCAGGTGGGGTGAGGGACAGGAGAGGAAAACAGGGGGGAGGCCCAGAGTGGGAGAGGGAAGAGGGCCCTGAGGGCAGGCCTTGACCTGCCTGTAGCCTGACCATGGCCCCCCCAGTTATGTGATGGTCTTGAGGGATCCTGTTCCTTCCTACCTGCCCGGACCGTTCAGGGGAAGCAGAGAGGGGTAAGGAGGCGAGGGGGTGTCGTCACAAAGTCTCCCGCTGCTCCGTCACCGGGGCCGGCTCCCCGCTTCCGTGCCAGGGCCAGATGCCCTCTTCCAGGAAGCCCTCCCATCATCACCCTCTACCCCCTATCTTCCCCCCCACACACACGGTGCCTGGTTCAGGGCGTCCCTGCCGTCCAGGCAGGGTCCTGTGTCCAGGTCCTGTCTCGTCCCAGACCGGCAGCTCCCGTGGCTCAGTGAGAACCACCCACCGGGCCCACTACTCACTTGCCCACGGCAAACACTGTGAGCCCGATGGTCAGGTTCAGCGGCTGGTAGATGTGTTGCAGCAGCTCGGGGTTGAAGGTTCCCTCCGAGACAATGGGCGCCAACCAGGGCGTGAGGGTCAGCAGCTCTGCAGGCCTGGCAGTGGGGGAGGCCGTGGGCACGGAGGCCCTTTCCCTGTGAAAGCCCCAGCCTCTCCCCGGCCAGGCCTCCTACGCTGTGTGACCTTGGGCAGCTTCATCCCTGTCTCTGAGCCTCACTATCCTCATGTGGAAGGCGGGGTTAGGAACACTTCCTTCCCAGCACGGTTGAGAGGACCGGGAGTTAATGCACACCGAGTGTCTAAGGGGGCCTGGCATCTCAGGTGGCTGCTAAGTGCCGAATACATGAGGGGTGTAGACTGGGCACCTGCTACGGAGCTGTGCTTCTGCAAACACCGTCCCATCGTCCAGTCCTCCAAGCTGCTAGGAGGTGGCTCTTATTAGCCACTTGCATAGAAAGAAGCCCAGGGCTGTTGAGTAACCTGCCCAAGGTCACACAGCCAGTGGCAGAACCGGGCTGGACCCCAGGGCCACCTGATCCCCCCCACCACCCCAACTTATAAATCAGAGCTCTGCCCACCCCAGCCTCCCTCCCCACAGCAGATCGCCCCGTCCCCAGGCCCTGCCCAACACCTACCTTTGCTCCAGAAGCTTGGGCTGAGGGTACAGTGACCTGTGACCAAAAAGGGCCAGTGGTGAGGGGAGGCAGCCCCCACCCCCCCCCGGGGCCACAAAGGGGGAAGTGACGGTCTGCTTACTGTGTCACAGGCTGAAATGGCTTCTGCCCCTTGTACTACAGTTTCATGCTGCTGGTGGCAGAGGACAGAGAGAGCTGTTAGTGCCAGGGCTGGGGACAGACGTATTCGGTGCGGGAAGGACAGAGTGGAGAATAACCAACCACCCGCCCCCCCACCCCCCCGCAAGGGCAGGCACCCTTCCAGGTTCCGTGCAGACTCCCTCTGCGTGCCCTTCCCCACTGCGTGCCCACTCTGCTAGGGGTGGGGGGCTGGGCTCCTACAGAAGCAGCCTGTCCAGGGTCACTAAGTGGCAAGGCCGTGATTGGTACCCGGTGCCGGCTGTCTCCCAAGCTGATGCTGTCTCACACGCGTCACTCTGGAGGGGCCTGGCAGCGGACAAGTCTTGAGAAGCTGCAAAGGCCTGGTGAGCGCCATTCTGTTGCTTTCTAGCCTGGGGACCTTGGGCGAGTCCCTTTACCTGAGCCTGCGGCGACGGTCAGTTATCGTAACCAGTTACACCAACACCAATCACCAAGCGAGGGAGGCCTCGCGGTGATGGTGCATGGCGGGTGTGATTAACATCTACACCCGCTGCCCTTAGGTAAAGATTATCCCAGCGCGCCTGGGTGGCTCCCTCGGTTCAACGTCCACCTTCGGCTCAGGTCATGGTCTCGCAGTTTGTGAGTTCGAGCCCCACGTCGGGCTCGCTGCTGTCAGCGTGGAGCCTGCTTAGGATCCTCTGTCCCCCTCTCCCTGCCACAACCCCCTTGTGCTCTCTCAAAAATAAATAAAACATTAAAAACAAAAAAGATACTCCACGTGGCCTGGATGGGGTTGGTACAACCAGGTGAAAGGCGTTAAGAACAGAGCTGAGGTTTCCGTGATGAGATTCGGTCAGTGTCCACTCCCGGGGTCCAGCCTGCTCCGCGGAGTCCAGACTGGCTTAGCCTAGCGGGTCAATCTTTCTCCCTCCCGCCTCCTGTTTCTTTAGTGGAACCCTGACTCATGCCCCCACTTTTCCTCATCTGTAAAATGGGTAGCCATCCTTCACCCTGAGAGCTGCCTTGAGACTTAAACAAGGTGTGTGCCCAGGCCCAGCACAGAGCAAACGCTTGTTAAGACCAGGCGTCTTGTCCCCTTCTTAGCAAGCGGCCTGGGCGGCCAGCCTCTGCCAGCAACAGCCAGGTTAGCCTGGGTGGGCAAGTAAGAAGGAGGTCCCTAAGGACGGAGGCTGCAAGGTGCAGAGAGCCTCTGGGTCTGCCATTAACTGGCTGGAGATACCTGGGGCCAGACATTTGACTCCTCGGGCTCTAGAGTCCTCCCAATAAAGTCCTCCCCCGAGGGTAGAAGTGAGGCCCAGAGAAGGCAAACCCCTGCCCGAGGACCTTTGGAGTGGATCAGCTCCTGAAGACGCCTGAGGTTGGCTGTAAGGGGCAGACCACCTGACGGGACGGTGACTGCCGCTCACTAAAGAATTTTCTTTTTGTGTTTTAAATGTTTATTTATTTTGGAGAGAGGGAGAGAGAGAGAGAGAGAGAGAGAGAGAGAGAGAGAGACACAATCCCAAGCAGGCTCCAGGCTTTCAGCACAGAGCTGGATGCGGTCCTCGATCCCACAAACTGTGAGATCAAGACCCGAGCTGAAATCCAGAGTCAGACGCTTAACTGACTGAGCCCCCCCCAAGAGCCCCGAGAATTTTCAATATGGCATATTTGAGAGGATAGCTTAAGCCTCCTTGAGCTTTCCTTCCAATGTTTAGTCTATGCTTCTGCTGCTGCTTTTTTTGTTTGGTTGTTTTGGGTGGTAAAATGTACAAAACAAAGATTTACTACTGTAACCATTGGTAAGCGTGCCCTTCAGGGGCATTAGGCACATTCGCACTACTGTGCAGCCGTCCCCGCCATCCATCTCCAGAACCTTCTCATCTTCCCCAACCCAAA